TAGAAAATACTGAGCTACGTGCACCAATGGTCTGACTCAGTAGAAGGCAGAATCCTAAATAAAATGAGAACTAGAAACTTGATTCCCTGCAAGTGAAAGCTGAGGTTCTCTGAATGCTAATACTGTACCACATTCTGAGACTTGTGTGTCTGTGTTGGCTATCAAGACTTTCTTCCACTTCTGCATTACACACAGTCCCTTAAACCTGACATAACCCCAGCCTTCTTGAACACTCCACACTTCCATAAAATCAAGTGCATTTAGATCTCATGACTTGTAGTCAAACCACAAGACTTAAACACAAAGAATGAAACTGATTCTTCACACATACAACCACCTACACAACCGCATTACTGTACAACAGCAGATCATATAAATCAGAACACCATCTGTTTCTGCAGCACAGAAGCAGTTCAACAGTTAAATGTCTGGACCCACCTGTGTCAACCATATCTGCATCGAAGGCAAGTAGGGCAGGCGCTTTCCTTCAGAATAAGGGCTGTTGATAACTTGTGGCTAGACTCTGGTACTTCTAAAGTGAAGGTTTTGTAACAAACACCTCCTTAGACCAAACACCAGAGCAAAGGAAAGCAGACTCTCATGCCCACTGCCAGATGTTTTCATGAGGCAGGATGTGAAAGAGATATATTTCTTGATAAGTCTGCCAAGGTTATTTTAAATATACTCCTCTTAGACAGAGGAGATACCCATAAAGGAAGGTAAAAGGAAGGGGGGGAATATATATAACATTTCCAATTCATTTCCACAGTATGGCTTTAAATCAAAGCAAGTATGGCACCCCCTTTCTCCTGAAATAGAATCGATAGCTAAATGGAACCTCCAGGTACAGCTGCAGTATCTCTCTAACATACCAAATACTGGGCACCTGTGGGATAGTTTGGACATAAGAAGGATAAGGCCAGTGGCCCATCTAGTCCAGCATCACGTTCTCACAGTGGCCAACCAGACGCCCCAAAAGGAAGGCCACATGCAGAACTGGGACGCAACAGCAACTCTTCACCTCCTGCAGTTTGCAGAAACTGGCAATTCAAAGTATTACGGCCTTCAAAAGAGGAGGTAGAACATAGCAACTGGGCTTAGTCACCATTGCTAGCCTTATCCTCTGCAAATTTGTCTAATCCTATTTTAAAGCTATCCAAGTTGGTGGTTGTCTTCAGTTCTGGACCTAATGGTATTATGGAAGGGGGTGCTATTTAGATGGTAAAAATTCTGTGCTTCAAAATATGAAAAAACCAGCCCTTCGCCAAGTGGAATCTCCCTTGCCACGTGGAGTTCTGGACCCTGGACCCCACAATCCTTCCCTGATGGCACCATTGGGGGGACAGATATCTGAGTCGGAATATTGCTTTCATGCTCTGATTGGGGGTTTTCCAGCAGCCAGCTGGGAAAATGTGTTGGGTCCTTTGGCTACTTAAGTCACGTAAGGCTTAAAACGAGAGTAAAATATCCCAAAGAGGCTTGTCCTCCAGCTATGACACTGTCCTGGAATTGAACAGAAGGGGCATTTGAGCTTGTGCAGAGCGAGCATTGAGTATCACACATATGCAAGAGGGAGAGAATTTCCAGTACCAGTGCTGTGCCAAACAGTGGAGGCTGGTCCATTAGGACGAAATGGGCACTGCCCTATGAACTTCAGTCTGCCCTCAGCCAAACATCCTCTCTCAGCCTTGTGCAGAGCTTGTCTGAGGCCCAAGGTGGGAGTCTTGTTAGAATAAAGTTATAAACTCAAGCAAAAAATTGGCCGGTCCCTGGTGGGGGCCCCAGCCAGCTTAGTCCTCTGAGGTCCAGGGCAAGTGTACCCGACTGACCGCCCTCCTGGCATGGGCTTGCTTTCTTACAACCAGTCCAGCAAGTGGCACAGACTGCCAGCTTCCTCCTCCTTAGTTGCTCTTGCAGAACTCATTAGTGAGGAGGATAGGAACAAAACCATAATTAGTTGGCTTTGCCTCCACTTGCCATTGGCCCTGTCTCCACTCATTACTGGCCCCATCTACTTCTTGGGCTCGCTGCCTTCTGCCCCACCAGGCCAAATAGGCACAAACCATTACTGCTCCTGAAACACTGGTTGCTCAGACCAACTGTAAGAGACAAGTTAATATCCTTTCATACAAGGGTTGTCAGACCTCCAGGTCTGACGCAAAGTCTCCCGGTTTGCCTGGCCGTCTCCAGGCAGCAACTGATTGGCATGAATCTCCAGGTATGCAAGGTGGCCTTTAATAATAGTAATAATGACAATAAAAATGATGACGACGACAGTGCATACAACTTGCAAGCTTCAGCCCAGCAGGAGCTGACTGCAAATTATAGACGGGACACACTGGGGTGCCTCTCCTCTGCTCTCCTCTCCCAATTAACCTCCATCTCCAAAGCCCACCCCTGTGACATCACTAGGAGGCCTCCCCCCATGACATCATCGGGGCCGCCCCAGATCTCAGGTTTCAAATCTCAGGCTCTGGGATGCTCCTGAACTGGCCAAATTATTGAATATTCTTTTCCTATGTCGCTGAGGATCATGGTGGGACACAAATTTCCCACTCCGCAAAAGTGACTTCCCCAGCATCCTCCAAACACTGCAAGGATTCATGAGAAGGGATGACAGGGATCTCAAACCATGTTAGACAGGTTTCCTGAAAGTAACCTTCTTCTTTCTAGGCAACTCCTGGTTCCCTCTCATGGTGGGAATTAAATGAAATTCTTGAGGCTGAATTCCCTCACCCCCTAGCAAAGCAGGGATGGCGTAATGCAGCTATGAGCACGTCCTCTCGGTAGAGGTGAAGGTGATAATTTGGCAAACCCACAAAAGCATCAACAACCCCATTACGCAAAATGTTTTTTGTGGGCTAACTGGAAGGGGTGGGGGAGAGCTAGAAGTGCCAGGGCTTCAGAGCTGGCTGGAAGCCCAGTCCCAAATTTAGATGAGTACATCTGGTGTGGGAAGGCCTACGGCACATGCTCAGAGGCATTCTATAATTATATCATCAGCATTATTAATCCACAAGTCCTGGAGCTGGTGCCTAGGAACAGAAGAATATGCCTTCTACTGAGACAGACCACAGGTCCATCAAGCTCAGTACTATCTACACTGACTCAGGGATTCAGGTAGGGATCTCTCACAGCCCTACCTGGAGATGCCAAGGATTTAATCTACATGCAAGGAAGCTACTCAACCACTGGTGTGGCCTGTTGAAAAGCAGGTTGCAACAAACATAATATGTTTTAAAACACATCACACACACACACCAAGAATCCTGGGAACTGTAGCTTTTACCCCCTCACAATGGTACAATTCCCAGCAGCCTTAAAGAACTACAGTTCCCAGGATTATTGAGAGGAAGTAATGTGCTTTAAATCCTAAGAACACTTGGGGGAAGGGATGCCACCTTCTTTGCCAACCAGGCACCCTCTAGAAGTTTTGCACTACAACTACCAGCGTGCTGGCTAGGGCTGCTTAGAATTCCAGTTCTAAACTTCTGGAGGGTTGGCAAAGGCTGTGTTAGTGGGAAGCACTCGACACATGCTCAGAGATAGCCTCCCCTTCTAATTCATGTGATCTTCACCACTTCCAGAGTGGAAGCCCTTGTGTATATATATTCATTTCCAGAATGTCCTGAAATTGCATTTGCTCATGTACATCTTTTTTTAGTTTCATCTGGTCTCCACTCCCCCCCACCAACCCACAGTCAACTTGAGAATTGCCTTCCTGGATTAGAGCGGGGGGCAGGAACCCTCTGAGACCAGCCAGTCAGAAGCATCACAGAGCTCAAGACCAAGGACTTAGAGGAATAGCCTTTCATGATCACCTAACCCTTGGTTTGTACTGAAAGGCAAACTGCTCCTGAAAATGGAGGTTCTATTTTGTTGTCATAGCTCATATAGCCACCAGTCAGCCTGTCTTTCTCCTCTCTAATCATACTGTAAGAATACAAGGGCTTTTGTGCTGGATCAGGCCAAAGGTCCACCTTAGCTCCTCCCTTTCCAAGAAGCTCAAACATAAGGCAGGGAGGTGACTGATAAGGTCTTCCTCATAAAAGGATTTAATCAGCTTCTGTATATCCTGGCTGACTGTAGACTGAAGCACTGTAGGGCAGAGACCAAAGCATTTTCATTTATGTTATGTTGTTAGATGCCACACACAGCATAAGCTGTGGAAGGGCTGTAGTTCAGTGGCAGAGGGGCCCAGGTTCAATCCCCAGTGGCATCTACAGGTAGGGCTGGTGGAGAGTCCCTGTCTGAAACCCTGGAGAGCAGCTGCCAGTCAGTGTACGCAGTACTTAGCAAGAGGGGCCAATGGACTGACTTCAGCAGAAGTCAGCTCCCCAGCCCTTCTTTAAATTCAGAATCACGAGGACTGGAATCTTACTTCCTTTTTTAGAGGGGAATGCCAAAGCTTAGTGGTAGAGCACTTGGTCTGCATGCAGAAGGCTCTGGGTTCAATCCCTGTTGTCTCTAGGTAAGGCTGGGCAATAACTGCTGCCTGAAATCAGAGCTAGTGTCAGGCAGCATAGATTGTGCTGATTTAGTATAAGACACCTCGATATATCCCTATTTAACTCAGCCTTTAATTCTGAGCCATTCTTAATACTGTAGTTTCTTAATTCATTTTTAGGGGGGAAAGTCATAGCAGAGAGGTAGAGCTCAATCCCCAGAGCCTCCAGGTACAGACCCCCTGGAGATCTGCTGCCAGTCAGTGTAGACAGTACTAAGCTATATAAGGCAGTTTCCTTTCAACAACAACAAGAAGCAGTTCTGACTAAATAAGCCACCTGTCCGTTTTCCACCTGCTGGCAAACCCCAGATCGCAAACTCTCGCGGGCGAAGACCTGCCTATTATTCCCCCCATTTGTGGGGGGTGGCTGCTCTTTCGCTTGCGCTGCAAAGCATTACCAGGGGGTTGGACTAGATGCCCCCTTTGGGCCCCCTTCCACCTCTACCATCACGATTATTATTTTCTAGCCTTTGCAAAAGCGCGCGTCCTTTACCTGGCTATCCAACATCATCATCTCCCGCTCATCGTTCCCAAAGGCTGTTTGAGGAGAAAAGGCGCAGGAGAGGAATCCACTCAGGGTCGCTTGCCCTGATCGCCGGGTCACTCACTGGTCGCTTGCCATGCGGTTATAAATCCAGCTCAGGAAAGGGCTCTCCCTCTTTTACGCCTTGTCAAGAGTCCTTGCTGCCTGGCTTTGCCCAGTTAAGAAAGGCGGCCACGGCAGCAGGTCTCCAGCGAGCCTGGCGATGCTCCAACCCCTGCCAACACCACCCGGGAGTAGCTCAGCGTCTTCTTGGCAAGCCCATAATAATCCCGTCTTCCTGATCTCCTTCTCCGGGCGGAACTAGGGCGATTCCCAGCCGGCGGCTCCATAAAACTCTCCTATACACGGCAGCCGCTTTTTGCGTCCAGCAAAGGAGGAATTATTATTTTTCTCTTCGCCACCAGCACAGTCTCGTTGCTAGTCAATTTCGCTTCCCTCCGCCTCCCCCGGCCTCTTCAATTTCCTATTGTTGTCTCCCCGCGCTGCTTGGGGAGAGGAGCGCCTCGCTGCTTCCCTCCTGGTCGCTCTCCTGCAAAAAAGAGGTCCATGGGTGAAGAGAAAGCAGGAAGAGGAAGGGAAAAAATGGATCTGCTTTTGGGGAGTCTGGAGACAGAGACAGAGAGAGACAGCGCTCTGAACGTTGCGCGCAGCTTGCAACAATTTGCAAAGGGCGGGGGTAGTGAGCGTGCGAAGGGGAGGGGGGGAACTGAAATGACTCAAACAGCCGCCAGCAGGCTTTTAAAAGATCGCCTCTTCGCTTTTACTCTGCTCTCCGTCTCCCACATATTTTTTCCAAGCTAGCAAACGCCACCTCGCGTTTCCAAAACACAGTAAACCGCAAGGCATCGTTGGGTGGGAGGCCCCTGAGCGCGTGCAGAGTGCTTTCCCCTCCTCGAAGGCGAATCTATATAACCTAGATAAAGGTTGCCTAATAAGGAGGCATCTCCTGTTGACTTGGTGGTTGGCTGCACCCAGACTGGCTGCAGACAGGTCTACAGGGAGAAAATTAAAGGGGTTGTTTTGTAGGGATCTAAAGGATTCTGAGCATGGACAGAACAGCCAAACAACAATGGAACAAAGGAGGGTGGTTTTTTTTAAAAAATAATCTGAGGGCTAAATTTATTCTCAACGTGTGAAGAGTGCCTGATTGGATTTTTTTTAAAGATGCACCAATGTAGGCAAATACAGAAATTTTCTTTTGTTTTTGTTGTTTTTCAAAATATAGATGGGCACAAGGCATATATATATAAATATAATGTTTTAACAGTCTAAAGGAAAAGAATCAAGTTCATCAGTTTTGTAATTAAACTAAATAATTGTAATCGGGTTGTGAATAAATTAATTGTTACTGTTTCAAATTTTATTTTGTTTTTATCTTCCTTAGAAGGGCCATAGATCAGTGACAGAGCATCTGTCTTGCATGCAGAAGCATCTCCATATAGGTCTGGGAGAGGTTCCCTGCCCCAAACCCAGAGAACCTGCTTCCAGTCAGTGTAAACAATACCAAAGACTCAGTAGATGTCAGCTTCTTATTTAATTCAGCCTTTAATGCAGAACTGTAAGGACTCACAAGAATCTTACTTTATCTTTAGAGGAAAGGGTGTAGCTCAGTGGTACAGCATCTGCTTTGCATACAGAAGGTCTCAGGTTCAATCCCTAGTGGTGTCTCCAGGTATTATTATTGTTATTGTTTAGTTGTTTAGTCGTGTCCAACTCTTCGTGACCCCATGGACCAGAGCACGCCAGGCACTCCTGTCTGTTATTATTATTATTATTTATTAAATTTGTATAGAGCTGGGAGAATGCCTGGAGAGCTGCTGCCAGTCAGTGTAGACAACATTGAACAAGATGGACCAAAGTCTGACTCAGTATAAGGCAGCTTCCTATGTTCATGCAAACCAGTATTCTGATTAATACTTTTTATGGGGTAGGGTAAGGGGCACTGGGGACGAGTTTATGGAACCAATAAAGTGGTAGCACAAAAAGGTTTAGGAACCATTACCTTAACAACTACACCACAGGTGGAACACGTTTTTTTGTCCAGGTCCTCTGCATGGGATATTTCCACTGTAGGCTCAGTCGCCGGGCCTGCAACATGTGCTCTTAACAGGAACAGAAGACCCAGCAGGGCCCTTCCAATTAACGGCCCCCCAGCGCCCTGCAAGGCTACGGCATATAAAGCAATGCCCGCCCCCAACTGCTTGATCTCCATTCACACAGAAGCCTGAACATTTTCAGGCGCCCCCGGGGATGCTGCAGAGGTGAACAGAAGCTCCTGGAACCAGCCTTGCCTGATCAATTTCATGCCAGCAGTGAAGAGGGCAGAGCAGCGGTGGTGGCGATGGTGGAGAGGGTTGCTCTGGTAACGCGAAGCCTGCCTATATTATTGTTTTTTCATAAAAGAGCATTCGGGGTTTCAAGAGTCGGGGAGGATGGCGACAAGCGTGATTCAGCCGGTGCCAGCTATCGTGGTGGTGGTGGGGTTTAGACCACCACACGAGACTAGGCCAGTGTATGGGTGGGCTGCAGCTCAAACCCCCACCACACCACCTTCTTATCATTCTTTCATTGATGTGGGTGTCAGTATCTATTCCCACCCACCTTATTTATTTTATTGCACGTATATCCCATCTTTTTCTGCAAGGTGGTGTACATGGTTCACGCCAACCCTGTGGTTCACGCCAGCCCAAGGTGGTGTCCATGGTTCACGCCAACTTCACGCCAACCCTGTGAGGGAGGTTACACTGAGAGGCTGGGCCAAGGTCACTCAGTGGGCATTTGAATCCTTAACAGGGGTGCCAATTTGAATAAAATATTGGAGTGGCCCAGGTAAACCCTGACACACAAACACACACACACAATTTGAATGGGAATTTCCAATAACTTTGAGGGGCCTGGGTCACTCAAATATTTTGGGGGGGTGTTGAAGACTCCTCTGGTCCTAGGGGTTGGCTCCTATGAACCTCATATACTACTTGCAAGTAGACAAGCGATTCTGGGTCCGTAAGTGCATGCAGTGTTGTTGCTCTTTAGCGTGGATGAGTTTGTGGTAGCATACATTAACATATTCCCACCCCCATGTGACATTGGTCTGCCAGCAAAGAAACAACTCAAACATCAATGGACTTCTGCAAGGGATAGTCTGCCATCTGCTGGCAAAGATGCTGCAAGGCTATTCCTGTCTCTTTTGTTTCGCAATCTACACTGCAGGGTTCAATATTTTAATCCTGTGACATAGGTACCAACTCCCTGGGGCCCTTGGTGTCCGAGCACCCACAAAATTTCCCATGAAGGGGCCGGGCACCCACAAATTTCAGTGCCAGGACCATGCATGCTGCATGGCACCCACAGCCCCGGGCACCCATGGTCACGGGGCCAAGCTGGCACTCCTGCCCTGTGACTGGGAATCATTTTCAGCCCAAGTGCAGCATATGCAGGGAATTTGAACTCAGATCTTGCCCCAGCCAAAGTCCTAACATATTGGTCACAGCCTCACACGACATTTTTGGGCTTAAGGGTAGTGATTTCTGTGAGCGTCAATACTCTTTATTTTGCTTTTATTGATTGCATTTATACCCCAACTTTTTTTTCTTCAAAGAGCTGAAGGAGGTGCACATAGTTCTCCCCCTCATTTAATCCCCAGAACAGGCAGCGCTGGGTCCAAAGTCACCCAGTGACCCACATGGCTGAGGTGGGATTTGAACCCTGCTCTCCGAAGTCCTAGTCAAACACTCTTCCAACCACTACACCACACTGGCTCACATACCTGACGGTTATGGGCATAGCCAGTATTTTTTTTTTTTTTTGCATGGGGCAGGCCTTTTGTGGAGGGGGGGCAGAACCTCAGTTGGCTATGTACGTTTATGTATTTTTATTTATGTACATTTATATATTTTTATTGATTGGGGGGCAGGTGCCCCTCCCTGTCCCGTCCCCCCGGCTCTCCCTTGGCTATGCTCATGCTCACAGTACTGGGTTGTGGCTTACTGGGATCATGGTTCCATTTGAAGCTGTCACCTGGCATCCTCACGCAGTTGCGAGGGCCTCGGAGGCCTAGCAGGGCCTTCCTATGCCTCCCCCTGTATCCAACACAGCCCTCTGAACAGGCACCAGGCAGCTGGATTGAGCCACTCTGTTAGTTTCTTGTTCAAGCCTAATTTCACCAGTGGGGAAGGCTCTGACTGTATGTATGTATGTATGTATGTATGTATGTATTTATTTATTTATTTATGTATCTATTCATTAATTGCACACACACACACACACACACGCTAAGTATATATGTATATATATGGTATTATTATCCAAATACATTATATATATACATATGCATTCTAAATATTGTTTTACTCAATGCTATTTTTCTAGAAAAAGAGGTGCTGGCTGCAAAATAATAATAATAATAATAATAATATATAGGCCATATATATTTCTCCCTCTTCAATTAATCACAATAACCTTGTGGGGTAGGTTAGGCTGAGGCAGTGATGGGCCCGCAAAGTTGCACCCAGTTAAAGCTTCATGGCCAAGTGGGGGAATCTGAACCATAGTCTTCCTCGGGTCCTTGCAGTACGACATTCTAATCACTATGCCGTAGTGGCTTTCAGGCGCCTGGTTAAAACGGTTTTCTTTCAGGAAGGCTTTGCACTTTGCGAACGTTCCAATGTTTCCAACGTTTTGATCATACATTTTGCATTCTGTATTTTCAGTGGGGGTTTTTTCATAGAGAGGTTTTTTTTAAAAAAAAACCACACACACCAGGGGATAAATTCCTTTTTTAAAAAGTAAAATAAATAAAACTTTCCCACAATGCCTGTAATCCAGGCATTCTGGGAAAGATAAATGGTGGCCAGGCCCAGTCACCCAGCCGAGCATTGATAACACATGGTGGGGGGGCTCCAGTGGTTATTTTACTTGGGGCAGGGTGTGAGCCTTGGATTCTGGTTCTTACTGACATAAAGTAGCCAGAGCACACTCTGACCATGCCTCCATTTTACCATCTTATTCTGCACTCTGTGCTTTTGCCTAATTGAATTTCTCTTTCTCACCATCTCCCTCTTCCCCCGACATCCTCCTGCCTCCCTCCCATGCTTTTTGGGAGCCGTTTCCCTGGAAACAAGACCTGCTTAATTCTGTCATCTTTGACATTCCACTCCTCATTCTTCGGTGAGATCATCACCTGCCTCGGTTCCCCTCCTTCTGCAATCCTGCCTCTCAGACATTTGCCATCAGAGGGTCATTAGCCAATTGGAGCTAGTATAATATTTTTTCCCAACCCCACTCCCCTGATCCCAAAAGATTGCAATGCGATCCTGTTTTTATCCATCAACCTCAGAGACATTGAACTCAGCAGTATTTAGTAGACAAGCATAGGATTGCACTGTTAGGCAGATAGCCAGACAGGTAGTGGGATGGTGATGATGATGATTACTGTACATATTTATTAATATCCTGCCTTTCCACATGACAGGGACACAAGGTGGCTTACAGATAAAATATGAACGACCTAAAACAGGGGGGGAGCCCATTAGAAACCATTAAGCATTAAGAGAATTAAAATATAGCTATATCTATATGAGCTCTATTAGAATCATACAGATAATTACAATAAAAACAGCACGGCACCAGCCCTTTAATTAAAAGCAGTTGTTTCCCAAAACCCTGTTAAAACAAGTCTAAATCTAGACTGCTACTAGCTAAAAACTGGAAATTGCAAGAGATACCAACAATAGAAGAATGGCCGAAGAAAAAGTTGGACTTTTTGGAGCTGGCTGACCTGACTGGAGGAATCCGCGACCAGAAAAAAGAGATACAAGAAGATTAGAAGAAATTTAAAGATTATTTGGCTAAGTATTGTGATATAAGATAATTAGAAAATTCTTGGAAGTAACGAATAGGCTTAGGCGTAGAATAAGAACATGGGAGGAGAAGGAGAAGAGGTTAGTAAATGATAGGAGTTAATATTATTAGAAATATGAATTTGGAGAACTGATATACAGGTGATATAATTCAGTTAGAGGGGTTTCGAGGAAGTCAGATATCGTTTATATAATTTTTTATTAAGGTTTTCAAAATATTACACAAAGAAAAAATAAAAAGAAAAAATACAAAATAAAAACAGTTAAAAACAATTCAATCTTTCCGTGTCTTATCTTTCATTTGCCTGTTCCCCGGACCTCCTCACACCTCCCTTTTTTGTATCCATTTCAATTAGTTGGTTCAGCAAATCCTTTCCCTCTTTGTTTTTATCCTAATCTTTAGTCTTAATATATTATAACTTTAAATTATCACCTATTAACCTTCCATTTTTGCACATCTTTTTAACATTTCTGCTAAAAACCACTTAACTTCAATCCAACATCATTCTAACATTCATTAATTTTGCAGTATTTTTGTAAATAGTCTTTAAATTTCTTCCAGTCTTCTTCCACCGACTCTTCTCCCTGGTCTCAGATTCTGCCGGTCATTTCCGCCAGTTCCATATAGTCCATCACCTTCATCTGCCATTCTTCCAGGGTGGGTAGATCTTGCGTCTTCCAATGCTTTGCGATAAGTATTCTTGCTGCTGTTGTGGCATACATAAAGAAAGTTCTATCCTTCTTTGGCACCAATTGGCCGACCATGCCCAGGAGAAAGGCCTCTGGTTTCTTCAGAAAGGTATATTTAAATACCTTTTTCATTTCATTATATATCATCTCCCAGAAAGCCTTAATCCTTGGGCACGTCCGCCAAAGGTGAAAGAATGTACCTCGAGGAAGTCAGATATCAATGTTATGAGAATTAGATAGCTGAAGAAATAATTTTTCCTGTGTTTAGTTTTATTGTATTGTAATGTGTTTTTCTTTGTTGTGTGTTTTGTATGTCATTTTTGTTATAAATGGGAAAATCAATTAAAAAAAATTGAAAAGAAAAAAAGAAACAAGTCTTTATCTGCCAGCAGAAGGATAGCAAACAGGGAGCCAGTCTAGCTTATCCAGAGAGGGAGTTCCAAAGTCTGGGAGTAGCCACTGAGAAGGCCCTGTTCCAGGTCCCCACTAAGCCTGCCTGTGGGGGTGGTGGGACCAAGAGAAGTGCCTCCCCAAAAGATCTCAATGTTAGGCAGGTTCATATGAGGCAATGTGGTCCTTCAGATAGGCTGGACCTAAGCCATGTAGGGCTTTATAGGTCATTACCAGCACTTTGAATTGTGCCCAGAAGCAGATGGGTAGCCAGTGAAGCTGTTCTAGCAAAGGAGTTGTCTGCTTGTGGTCTTGGATGTGGGCTTCCCATTATGGGCACCTGGTTGGCCACTGGGAGAATAGGATGCTGTACTAGATGGGTCACTGGCCTCATCCAGCATGGCTCTTCTTTTTCTGAACAAATCCAATGAATAAATAAACTTTTAAGCTTTACTCCTTAGCTAGTGATGTTTGCTAATTTCAAACCTTCTACTTTAAGTGGGACTAATATTGGATACAACCCATAATTGCTATTGTGATCAAAAAATTAGCCTTCATATTCGCAAAACTGTTCATAGTAAAGAGGGGATTCTTCCCATGACTTCCAGTACTGTACTTGTCTGCCAATTAAACAATATTTAATTTAATGAATCAATTGTCTCCTTTTTCCACTGAATCATCTGCTGTTTAATCCATCGTGTTTACGTTTAATCAATATATTGCTAGACACTTACGGTACCTGCATTGGTGCCTTTGAAAATATTATTGATTGTAAAGGAGCCCTTCTGAGATACTGAAGGGAGAGAAAAGTAACACAGTTTCATAAACAAAAGTTACCAATTTTAATTAGAAGGCAAATAGAATCTGCCTCTCATTTTTCTTTCACTTTTTCTCTATAAGGATTGACAAATCTTACCAGTTCAATTTGTCCCAGGGCCCCTTCGGACTAGTGTTATTTTCTGTAGGCTGCATTCTGCCACATTATGTAATTATAGCACATTAGTGATGGATTTATCCTGGACCATCCACACATCATTCTGCTTTCTATGGCCACATCCGCATTCTACATTTAAAGCAGTATCATACTACTTTAAGCAGCCATGGCTTAAAGAATCGTGGGAATTGTAGTTTGTTAAGGGTACTGAGAGTTGCTAGGATACCCCCCACTCTACGGAGAGAGCTATGATTTTCAGGAATATGGTGGTCTCCTAACAACTCTTGGCACCTTTAACAAACAACACTTCCCAAGATTCCTTGGGGAGAGCCATGACAGTGTTTTAAATGTAAAGTGCAGATGTCGCCTCAGTTGTTCTGCAATGCATTATCGAGGCCTGGAAGGGGCTCTCTTGCATAGGCGCCGACTCCATGGGGCTTGAGGGGGCCTGAGCCCCCTCAAAAATTCGTTTGGGGGGGCTCTGCCCCCCCAATAATCTCCGGCGCCCCTCCAGCAGAGCGCCATCGCCGCCCCTCCCCCAGCCCAAAATGCACAGGGAGGGGCGGGCTGCATGCCTCCTGCCCTCCCTCCCGAGCAAAAGCTCCACCCAATTTCCTTTGGAGCTGATTAATAGGCACAGCACGCTCTCCCCTATTCGCTCACGAGGAGGCGGCGCCACTTTATTTGCATATTCATGAGCTTATTTATTATTCATGAGCTTTCCCGGGCCCCCCCAATATTTTTTATAAGTCCGCGTCCCTGCTCTCTTGCACCATAGCTGTCAACTTTCAGATTTGAAAATAAAGGATCAGCAGAGGGACAGTCAACGGAATATCTAACAATCCGGGATAGCAGCGGGAAAGGGCACTGGAATAAGGGAATTTCCCACAAAAAAGGGAAGGTTGATGGCTATGTCTTGCACTATAGGCACAACAAAAACAGGGGACACACACACACACACACACACACACACACACACACACACAGCTGTCAACTTACAGATTTGAAAATAAGGGGCCAGCAGCCTCGAAAATAAGGGATCAGCAGCCAAAATAAGGGATTTTAGTCAACCAGCTGAAATACAAAGTTAAAAGGGACCAGATAATTTGGGAGAGCAGCACCGGTTTTTAGCCCTTCGTTTCCAGAGGTTGCTGCTCAAGACACCAACTGATGAAACACTGCAATTAAATAACTACAAGCAGCAAACACTTTTCGCGCAAAACCAAGTCCAAGCTACGAAGATGCTGCTGCAGTTCTGTGTCTTTTCTCTCGTGCTCCATCTGTAGCTCTCAGTTCCACCAGGCGGGGTGGGAGGAAGGGGGGGGGAATAGCGCCCGAAGTAAACCAGCAGATCAGACCATCTATGCTAGTCTACCACTACAAAGTATGGGAGAAGAGCTTGCGGTCCTTCCTCCGCTTCCCCCCTCTATAGTTAGGCCTTGGAACACCTGCCCACACTTCTGCATCCTCATCCTCCTCTTCTTCTTCTCTTTGAACTGCTTTCTCTATGGTTGCCCTCGCTCTCCTCTCTCGCTCCTCAGCAATTCATAGGCCACGCCAGGCTGCCCATCTCATCCGGGTCCTTCGGTGGCGCAGCCGCAGTACGGCCTAGTGGGAGTGGCGGGCAGAGAGGAGGCCCCAGGCAGAGACGCTTAGTTTGGCAGCCGCGAGGAGGGTGGCGGTGGAAGGGCCTCAGGCTCCTGGGGGCTGAGGCTGGTGAGAGGAGGCCGGAGGGGGGCCAACACAGTTGGAGCCTCCCTCCTCCCTGGCCGGCAAGGAGGGAGGGAGAGGAGCTGCTTCCTTTGAAACCCAGGAAATTTAAGGGACATCATCAATAAGGGACAGCAGCTGGACACGGCGCTGGGATAAGGGAGTTTCCCGCCAGATAAGGGACAGTTGATAGCTATAACACACACACAGGTCATTTCTGAGATTGGGTTTAAAATCAGCACCTTCTTTAGCTCTTTTAAAAATATATATTTGGGAACGAAAACCAGGATTTACTATATAAAGCCCTGTTGGTTTTTCCTCTTAAGGCTGCTGGGTTAGAAATCACTTACAGGTGATGCTCCCTGGCAGGGATTTATTTAGATACACTACATAGTACAAAAAAGAGTTTGAAGCATTACTCTCTGAAATGTTGAGTAGCTGTGTTTTAGAAAGCTCAGGGAATAGGGTTGCCAGACCTCCAGGGATTTGCCCACTCCCTTCCAGGTGCAGGAAATGCTTTTAAATAAAAATAAACAACAGCAACGATGGGTGTGGCTGAATGGAAACCAAAATGGCCACTTAGAACAGTTTCCTCCCCTGGGTGCCAGTTTTAACTAAAATCTGTTTGATTGCACAGGATTTATTAAAATAAAAATAAATCTTCTTCCCTCTGCCTAAGGGAATGTCCACAGCAGCATTTCACTCACCCCAAACAGGGAAGCTTAGCTCAATGCTTCATGTGAGGCCCCTGTAAACAAGTGGAGAAGAAGACAAAATGGCTGCTGTGCCTCCTAAAATAGCAGAAAATACAGCTGTAAAACCAAAATACTTGGACGCCACATTCAGGGAATAGTTTGAAGCATAATGCATTTCCCTTAAAAGCCAGAATCATATAAGCCTAGAAGGAATTAATAGCTTCTCTGGAAGCAAAGGTAAATACAATAATGGAAAAGCTGGAGGGTACTGCTGAAAGAAGCTTCTGCAGCAGTGGATTTAAGTTTGAAGCAAAAATTAAGAGGCTGCTTAGGGAAAATAAATGCATTAAGTGTAAGCTTGAAGAAGTGGAAAATAGTCACTAAAGGGTTAATATGCACAGGATTAAAAAGGAGGCAGAAGGAGATGATATTACAGGATTGATAATCCAGTGGTTTAAAACTGTTAGACATTGCTTGGAATTGTCCCCAGAAAATATGAAGAAGAATGCATAGAGTACTGCCAGCCAGTCTGCAGAATACAGCACCCCAAAGTGTATTGTTATGAGCTTCCACGTTTTTAAAAAGAAAAATGAGATTTGAAAGGCTTTGAGAAAGGTTGAAATAATAATTTGTGACAATAATCCAATCATGATGTTTTTTGTTTTTTGGACACTGATAAAATGAAGGGAACTTTGGCACATAATACTCAATCTGCAAGATGTAGGAATAAGATATTATTGGGCTTTCCCCTTTCGTTTAGTGACTGCTAAACAACACTCTCAGCCACCAACCTCAAGGAACCCACAAAACTATTAACACCACTAGAACTGGTCTGTCCGCCTAGGGTTATTGATTTTTTTGGATAGTGAATCCATTGGTGAAGTTGACCCAGCTCAGGAGCCCAGATGAGAGAGCTACAACAAAGCCAAAAGACCATGTAAGAGAATAACAGGACAATGAAGAGGCAGCATTGCACATTTTTCAGAAAGGTTACTACACTCTTTAATAAGCAGGAACTAATGCAGAACTGAAGAATGCTGTTTAAAAAAAGAGAGAAAAGGCTCCTTTTCTATAGAAGTGAAAGCAATCAAACTGGAATGACCCAAAAATATAAATATCTTGAAAGTACCCAGAGGTTGGGACATGAGGTTTACAAAAAAATATCCACTTTACTGTACCTCATAATTTACTTGTTTAAAATAAGTTTTATTTTTATGCTTATGATTTACTCTATACCCATAGTAGTACTGGAGTGCCCTCTACTGTTAAAAGAGGACACACACCAGGGTGTAAGTTCTCAAGGTTCTGGGTTAATTCAAAGGTTTTTTTCAAAGTTGCGATACAAGTAGATTTTTTACAGAAGTAGATTAATTTGCAGAACCAAAGCCAAAACATGGAAAGCTTAGATTGGCAAAGGACACTATTGCTTAATGGCCAAAATGAGTACAGGTATTAAAGTAATTTCTTTTAACTGTGAAGGGGTTGGGAGATCCAATAAAATACACCAGAATGGCAACTTATTTGTTCAAAAAGGATCCACATATAGCCTTTTTGCAACAACCCTATAATGCAGATAGGGGGAAAAACCACCACACATTGTTTATGCAGTCATGTGTGGGCCAAAAGTATCTCACGGGGACAAAACCATGCAGGAGGAGTGGGAGAAAACCACACTGAGCTTTCTGGAGAAAAAGTGGGATATAAATTCAATAGAAAAGCAATGTGTGATGCTTCCTGACATCACTGGGCCCCCTCCTGTGATATCCCCAGGTAGCTGCTCCTGTGTCCCAGGTTTGTGCCCTGGAATCTCAGGGTCTGGGATGCCCCATACCTGGTAATCCTATCAGGGATGGACAAATACAAGACAGTTTTAATATTGATTGCTATCCTTTTATTCAATACATGGCTACAACTGGTGTTAACAAAGACAGCTCTGCAAAAACAGGGTCAGTGATGGCTGGATTGATCCTTCCTCTTTGCAATAAAATTTCTTTCTTTTGTGCCTCATCTTGTTTATGATGTAACACTTCCTGTAGTCATTTAATGTTCTGCATTGATTTTCTTTGGCAGTTTCGTGGTTTTGACTGACAATATCTGTTATATTATAATGACCTGACTTGCACTGACTGGAAACATTGGAGTCTTTCCGCCTCAAATCTTTTGCAGGTACAAACAGTACTGAAAGTGGGATGGTGTCTAATCAACAGATAAGAGTGGGATGGGGTGGCTGTCCATCAACAGATAGGGTGTCATCACCTACTGATGGCAACCTAAGCCAAAGCTCTGGACAAGCTGGGCGAGGGGGCGCATAAAGATGTTAAAAAGCATTGGGGAGAGAATTGTGCCCTGCGGTACTCCACACACCAAGGAGTAGCACGACGACAGCTCACCCCCCCAGACCACCCTCTGTCCAGAAAGGAACGAGCGCAGCCACTGAAGGACTGTGCCCTGAATCCCCACATCGGCTAGGTAGTGGTCCAGAAGTTTGTGAGCAACCACGTTGAAGGCTGCTGACAGATCTAAGAGAATCAACAGCCCCGACCCACCTCGGTCCAGCTGCCTACAGAGATCATCAGTTAGGGCAACCAGAGCCATCTCAGTCCCATGACCAGAGCAAAAGCTGGACTGGAATGGATCTAAAGCCGATGTTTCATTCAGAAATCCAACAAGCTGTTCAGCAACCGCTCTCTCAATCACCTTGCCCAGGAACAGAAGATTCGAAACTGGGCGGGAATTGAATAGATCTAAAGGATCTAATGGTGTTTTCTTTAAGAGCGGTGCCAAGGGACAAATTGATGATGTCACCCAGGGGGGCCTGCAACTCGTCTGGACATGCTCAAATCAGCCAGGATGGGCACAAGTCAAGAGGACAAGTGGTGGGCTTTCTGGCATGGAGGAGTCTGTCCACATCGGCTGGCAGTATCTGGTCAAAGTGGTCCAGTACTGGACCTGAGGACAATCAAGGTGCCTCCAGTTCCGTTATTGTATCCAAGTTGGCAGGGAGGTCATGGTGGAGCAACAGGACCTTCTCCGCAAAAAAGCTCCCAAATGCCTCACAGCTATGTGCCTGATTCATATTTAAATTTGGCTGTCCCTCTAGGGATGTTAGAGACCTAATTATACTAAAAAGTTGCGCGGGGCGAGAGCTAGCGGATGCAATGGATGCTGAGAAGTAAGACTTGTTTGCAGTCTTCACTGCTATCTCATAGGTTTTCATAAACACCCTATAAGATGTTCTTGAGGCTCCGTCACGAGTACTCTGCCATACTCGCTCTAGCTGTCTGAGCAACTCAGTAAACCAAGGGGCCCGGTTTCTGTGGGGTTGCAGAGGGTGCCTAGGTGTGATCTCATCTATGGCCGCCAAGCGTCAGGTATTCCAACCCTCAACAAGCTCAGTCAGTGAGTCGCCAGGGGGAGCAGGATCCCGCAAGGCCTGACAGAATCCATCAGGGTCCATCAGCCTCTGCACCGAGCCCAAATCGACTCACCACCTAAGCAGGGTGGGGGCGGGAAGTCAATCCGGGCTTTCAGAGCATAGTGATCAGACCATGGCACCTCCATAGAGGGGGACATGATCACATCTATGCCTGTGCCAAAGATCAAATCCAGCGTGTAGTCTGCTTGATGTGTGAGGCCCAAAACAAACTGGGAGAGCCCTAGTGTCACCATGGAAGACACCAGGTCCAGAGCCTGTGAGAAAGGGGTGGCACTCTCAGCAGGGGTTGGGGGATGTGTCTGATTTTGCCAACTCCGCAATGGATCTGCAGGTCCAAATAATTTGATCCCAAGGGCTCCCCTGCCCAGAAATACAGAGTGAGGCCAAGATGGACCCAACGAGGGTCAGTCCCTGACCTCCCTATAATTCTTGCTCAATGATGATAACCGTATGAGTCTCAGCTCAGGTGGTTTTGACTTTTTGTCGTCCCAAAGGTACTCCGGAGAGAGGAGCTTTGAAGGCTTCTGGGAAAGGAAGTGCCTGTTCAGATGACTCTCCTCTTGCCAAGCTGCCATGATGCCGTTGGCCTTGTCTGCCAATATGGCCATGTGGCAAGCCCTGGTGAACTCGTAGACATTCTTGACCAGGCCTCCAAAGGCCGCCCCGGAATAGTAGAAGTCTCCTTCTTCCTTAGAGATGTAGGCCATGGAAGCAGGTCTCCTCTCATATGGGAATGCTGTCCGAGAGACCTTGTAGTAGCCTGGGTGGATCACGGCCACCATCTCCCCCAAGGTCTCTGGGCCCCACGGGTTATGAAACAACGTGTCAATGTCCAGGCAGAAGAGATAGTCCACGTCTCGGTGGGCTGTATCTGAGATGTACCGGTTTATGACCTCCATCCTGCGCATGGAGATTTCTTGCCAGTGGGCATATTTCTTTATAGGGATGAGGTGGAGGGTTCTCCCAGGCTGCAGGCGGACAACGGAGATGTCTTTGGGGTTGTCTGTGAAGATGTAGTAGTTCACATGGTATCCCACCATGAAGTACTGTTCAGCTGACTCCAAAAAATGGCTCACAAATCGTATGTATCTGAGCAAACATTAAAGATATATATATTAAGAGCAATTGCTCAGGGCAGAGTTTTTAAAAAGCAGATTTTCAAGCTGCACTGGTCAGTGTATGCAGTACTGGGTGAGATGGATCAATGGTCTACGTAATTTGGTATAAGGCTGCTTCTGAGGCTCCTAAGGCCCCATAAGGCGGGAGCAAAGTAGGCTAGAATCAGACCAGGGGTCAATGTGGCCTAGGGCTACCCATCCTGAAATGCAGCAGCTCCACAAAGCTATTAATCCTGGTTACAGGTAGGTAGCCATGTTGGTCTGCCGTAGTCGAAACAAAATAAAAAAAAATCCTTCCAGTAGCACCTTAGAGACCAACTAAGTTTGTACAAACTTAGTTGGTCTCTAAGGTGCTACAGGAAGGAATTTTAAAAAATTTTGTTTCTATTAATCCTGATGGCTGTTCTCTCCCTCCACTGTTGGAGGCAGTAAATGTTTCTGAATATCACTTGGTGGAAACTGCAGGAGAGTTACCTTTTAGGCTTGATCCAAGAGGGCTCATCCTATGTCCTTAAGCCCAGGGGACTGTGCCAGGCACTCGTAACAAAGGCCTTTTATAACCAGAGTTGCTACAGCCCACATCATGTTTTAGATCTCGGCAAATGTGCAGACCTTCCCAACCCCTTCTGCCCTTTCTGCTTACTTTCCAACGGCGAAGGCAGTCATTCCAATGGTAAGGTTCAAAGGCTTGTAGATGCTGTCCAAGATTTCAGGGTTGAATGTCCCCTCCCAGACAATGGGGGCCAGCCACGGAGTCACGGTGAGCACATCAGAGCGCCTGAGGAAACCAGGAAAATAAAGCAATGCAATGTCAAAAGTGTTGATTGAGCAAATAGGATACTACTGGTGATCAGATCTGTCAATTTCAGTTTCTTATTTCCCCCGAATATAAGTTCAGTTCTCCATGTTTCCATCTGTTGTTGTTTTTTAAAGTACAGTACTCTGGAAACTTCATTTTTCTGCAAGTTTCCCTGATACACACACATTTTTCATATGCAATTATGGCTAATATACATACACAGTTTTGCAAAGTCACTTTCCCTAATATAATGAATTTCTGTATCTATTCACTAAAATATACTATACTTTAGTTCTATTCACTAAAATATACATTTTCAAATGCACACTTTGTCCTAGTACAAACATTTTTTCTTTACACATTACTCAGCTGGAGAACAGCACTGCAAAAATTCGGAGAAGTGTGAACACGCTTGCGAGTTCAGGAAAAGCCATCCTGGACTTCTATAAGAGGTCACCTCAAATGGTATTAATTAGACAAGCCTCTGAAGCCAGAAATTTATTTTAATTAACCAGTATTCATGAATTTATTTAACTACACAGCACCAAGTTAAACTGTGGAACTCACTTCCACAGGAGGCACTAACTTGGATTGGACAAATGCATCAAGGGCAAGGCAATCAATGGCTATTAGCCACAACAATATCTCTGCTCTGCCTCCATGGTCAGAGGAAGAAAGGCTTCTGAAGATGAGTTCTTGGAAACTGCAGGAGGTGAGATTGCTTGTGTGCTCAGATCCTGGTTGGGGTTTTTTGTTGGGTTCTGTGGTTGGCCACTATGAGAACAGGATGCTGGACCTAGATGGGCCATTGGCCTGATCCAGCAGGGCTTTTCTTACATTCTTATTTACATTTAAATTTTTGTCTTATTTCAATTTTTATCACCGTTGAAACTTTTGTACAATGTCTACTGCTTTGTTGCATTTAAAAAAAAACAACAAAGTAAATTTGTTAAAAGTTTTAATAAATAGAATATATGAATCGGGCCAGTCCTTTCTGGCACTTACGTCTGTTGCACAGACTTTGGCTGTGGATAAAAGAATCTGAAAAAGATAATAAATAGTCATATATTAGAACAAATCTCCAGAAGAAAGAAGCAGCAATTTTAGGGAAGATGCAAGTGGAAGAGAACTAACTGTGGGAAAAGCTGGTGCGAATTCTCCTCTCTGTACTGTAGTTTCAAAGCACTGTCCAAAAAAAGAGAGAGAAAGGGAAATTCAACTTTTATTTATTCATTTGTTTGTGTGCATGTTTTTTTAAAAAGGTGTATATTACTTAATTGGAAATAAAACCTCTATGCAATTTGCAAAAAGCAAACAAACATTAAAATTGTCAAGAAAAGGAAAGTTAAAAACAGGATTTATTTTTTTTAAAGATGCAAAGTGTTATGAAAACAGTTTGGCTAAAAACATACTTAAAACACAAGCCCACATGTTCTGTGAGGATAGATTTGTCTGAACAAAAATCTTTTCAGTAAAGAGTATAGTGAAGATGCCTACCTGACATAAATAGGCTGGGAGTTGCAAAGTAGAGGTGTTGCCACACTAACATACTGATTTCTTATAAGCGCAGAACAAGTATTATGCAGTGCCTGTGACAGTGGTATTTCCTCCTATTTTCAAAGCTCCTACAGGCTCAATTTGTTTGACACCTTACTCTTGCAACCAAAAAACATAGAACTGAAGAGCTACAAGGTACTCCAAAGTTAATCTAGTCTAATCGCCTAGAGCAGTGGTTTTCAACCAGTGTGCTGTGGCACCCTGGGGTGCCTTGAATGATAGTCAGGGGTGCCACAGGCAACACTGGCCTCTGTCCCTCTTTCCTTCCCTCCCTCCCTCAATGCCCTCTCATCTCGGCCTTGCACAGCTGTTTGTTGCAGCTGCCCTGGCTACAAGCTCCCCAAGTCAATGGTGCTTCTGGGGCTGGCCAGGGGGTGCTGGTTGCCAGGAGCTGAAGTGGCCTCAGAGTAAGCAAGCAAATGGGCAAGGGACCGCAGCCAGCCAGTCCACCAGCCCTTGCTGTTGGGAATGGGCAGACAAGTCCCAGGCCACTTTGGTGCAGTGTGAGAAGGCACCTCTTTTCAGAGGAAGCTCAGAGACCAGAGGCTGCAGAGACGGCTGCCTGGAGGACTCCCAAGGAGAGGGGAGAGGAGAGGATGCCTTATGAGGAACGGCTAAGGGAGCTGGGCATGTTTAGCCTGGAGAAGAGGAGGTTAAGGGGTGATATGATAGCCATGTTCAAATATATAAAAGGATGTCATATAGAGGAGGGAGAAAGGTTGTTTTCTGCTGCTCCAGAGAAGCGGACACGGAGCAATGGATCCAAACTACAAGAAGATTCCACCTAAACATTAGGAAGAACTTCCTGACAGTAAGAGCTGATCGACAGTGGAATTTGCTGCCAAGGAGTGTGGTGGAGTCTCCTTCTTTGGAGGTCTTTAGGCAGAGGCTTGACAACCATATGTCAGGAGTGATCTGAAGGTGTTTCCTGCTTGGCAGGGGGTTGGACTCGATGGCCCTTGTGGTCTCTTCCAACTCTATGATTCTATGATTCTAGGAGGCTGAAGGAACACTCCACAAGGGAGAGTGTTCGAAAAGGGGCGAGGGGCTGCCAGCTCTGCAGGCAGGGGGTGACATAACTGGGCTCCTGAGCCCCACAGGGGTGTCACAGAAAGAATGCAGTTGGTCAAGGAAACCGTGGACTCAAAACGGTTGAAAACTTCTGCCCTAGAATGCAGGGACCATGGCTAATCACATAGCATTGGATGGAGTATTGAGGCTCTGCAGTTTAGCCCCCAAATCTCACTATGCTACTTACAAGAGATCTGGGCATGGAAGATAATATGGAAGGTAGTGGGTCGGTCCTTTCCCAATCAAAACCCTGGGGACAAAAAAAAAACAGTTAAAAGAGGCATAAAGGTTGTGCAGGACTTGAGAAATGTTATCAGGATGGGGGCATCTGCAAGGAAATGAACAATAAAATGGTCTTGTTGGACTTGGCATGGTGGCGGTGGCAGGCTGTACTTTTCTCCAATCCTCATATTTATATGGTGAGAATGGATTAGGTGCTGATTAGTATTACAAGTGAAAAATACTCAATTTAATTCAGAATTATTTTTGCTTTCTGTGTTTACAAGACACAATAAGGATTTAGCATAGGAGGCAATTTTTCTCAAAGCATGGTAACCGGCCTCATAGAGGACCATTGTTCCACCTAGCTCAGTGTTGTATACATTGGCTGGCAGCATTTATCCTGTGGCTTCCAGCAACTGGTACTCAGAAGCATGGAGGCAAAGCATAGGCATCATGGCTAGTAGCCACTGAGAACTTTCTCCTCCTCCATGAATTTGTCTAATCCTCTTTAAAGCCATCCAAGTTGGTGGCTGCCATGAACATGTTATTCAGCGAAAGAGACTCACCCGATAAAAAAGGAGATGGTGCTAAAGGTGAGTGCAAGGACAGATAAGATAAGTTTCTGAAGTTTCATGTTTCCTGGGCTGGAACAAAAGAAGAATTAAGGATATCCAAAGTCCAGATCTTATGTAGGTTTCACCTAAGGAAGTAATGAAAGTAACATTAGAGGTGTGTTATAAGAATTCTAGGGACGCAGGTGGCGCTGTGGGTAAAAGCCTCAGCGCCTAGGGCTTGCCGATCGAAAGGTCGGCGGTTCAATCCCCGCGGCGGGGTGCGCTCCCGTTGCTCGGTCCCAGCGCCTGCCAACCTAGCAGTTCGAAAGCACCCCCAGGTGCAAGTAGATAAATAGGGACCGCTTACTGGTGGGAAGGTAAACGGCGCTTCCGTGTGCGGCTCTGGCTCGCCAGAGCAGCGATGTCATGCTGGCCACGTGACCCGGAAGTGTCTCCGGACAGCGCTGGCCCCCGGCCTCTTAAGTGAGATGGGCGCACAACCCTAGAGTCTGTCAAGACTGGCCCGTATGGGCAGGGGTATCTTTACCTTTACCTTTATAAGAATTCTAAGGTCTCAAATATAAAATAAATGTTCATACATGCATAAGGCAAACACATACATAACTATATAAACCACGTGTCTAAAATAGTACAGGAGAGCAATCCTGAAGCCATTTTGACTCTCGCAGTGACCTCAAATATTCCTCTGCAGTAAGGAAGGAAAATGGGGAAAGCCTTTCCATTCTCTTTTTGCTTACAAAGCCTGTCTTAAAGGGCGTATTAAAGAAAGAATAAAAATAAAAATAAAAATAAACCTTTTAAACCTTCCCGGTTTAAAAACTGGGCTCAGTGCGGCTAACAGCAAATATAAAACATTGATTAAAACATCATAAAATACAACATAAAATGCAGCATCAATATCAATAAAATTCTAAAATTCAGGGGTCATTTTGCGGGGGGAAACAAAAAACTAAAGTATTAACCATCACAAAAGAATGGCCAGACTGCTCTGGTAATGCAGTCAGTGACCATTATGAGGTATCCTGGCAAACAGGATTTTTGCTGTAGACCACCTCCTTCTGTGATATATGTATGATGTTTTAGGGGGGGATGGTCTTGGGTGACAGGGTGGGCAATTTAAAGAGTTTACATAAGGGCTTGCACACCATTGTTCTGGGTGCTCTCCTCCCTCCTGTGTGTGGTGAGTGGGGACCCTATTGCAATAATACTTTTCTTTTGCAATAAAGATCAGGCTTACTAGCCGCTTTGCTTCACAATATACTCTGGTTGGCCTCTGTTATTTTCTCCTACTGATAGGGAACCCACTTAAGGACTCTTAAGGCTCTTGGATACCCCGTAAGGGGAAAGGAGCAGTTTTTTCTTATAACAGTTGGGAAAGTCTCTCTCCCAGTTCCACTTCCACAGATCAATATAAAAGGAATCCAAGGAATCATTCTTACTCATTGCTTGTTGGTTATCTAACTCGCAGTGGTAGAGCATCTGCCTTGCAAGCAGAAGGCTTCAGGTTTGATCCCCAAAGGCAACTCCAGGCAGGGCTGGGAGAGAACCCAGCCAGAAATCCTGAAGAGCTGCTACCAGTCAGTGTAGGCAATATTGAGCTGCATGGGACAGCGATCTGGCTCAGTATAAAGCAGCTTCCTATGTTCTCCACATGCTTTCATCCAGCTGAAGGATCCAGAGGGTCCCAGCCTACAACCCTGGAGAGGCAGCTATATTCATGCTAGGGAACGTAGAAAGTGTGTTGAGCAACAAAATTGCTGGAGGGTATTAGATGGAGGCCAAATCTTCAGTCAGGGTGGGGATCAGCTTTGAAATAAACACTGCACCTCAAAGAACTCTATGTGCAGATGTGATGCTTTACTTCCTGTTCCACTCAGGAACTTGTGAGAAAATATGAAGCAAGATTAGATCTCCTGAGTATTGTGTATATTTGGTTTGTCTGTGTGTGTTTGCATCTCTCCTTATAGATTTTTGCACACAGCAGCCCATAAAATCCTTGCGCTTTCTTTTTTTACTGAGCTGCTCTCTGCTGGGAGGCATTTGCAGCAAGGAAAAGGGCATATGGGGAGAGCACTGAGAAGCCTTTCTCTACCCCCATTTCCAATGTTTGGCTTAAAAGGCAGCCATGGGAGGAAGCTTTAAAAGGAAAATTATCCCACGTAAAAAGGTAAAGGCAAAGGACCCCTGGACGGTTAAGTTCAGCAGGACTAAACAGCTTCGGGTGCAACAGGACACCGTGACTAGTGCAAGAGCGCACAGAAACACCATTTACCTTCTCACCGCAGCAGTACCTATTTGTCTACTTGCACTGGCATGCTTTCAAACTGACAGGCTGGCAGAAGCTGGGACAGAGCAAAGGGAGCTCACCCCGTCATCCACTCAGTAAGCCTAAGAGTCCTGGTGGTTTACCCCACAGTGCCTCCTGCATCCCCTCTTTTTACCTTTACCTCCCACCTTTTACCACTCCCTCTTCATAGCTCAGAGATTCAAGAGAGCTGAGAAGTTACTTCATCTCACGCCCTTCTTAAAAAAAACCCCATGGAATGATGAAAAACTGCTCTAGAGTACTTAACCTGGTGCTTAAAGTTGATTTGAAATAGTTGGAATATTTATTTTGTAGTTTAAACAGCAGCAACTACTTAACCATCCATTTTATTTTGTTGAACTCTTAATTTAAAATAGGCATTAATGAGGGAAAAGGCTGTCTGCTTTTCTGCCTCCTTGTTGGAGCCTTTCAACGTTTTTTATATCCCTCTGTTTGGGCGTGTGTTATAGAAAGATTATTGCTGGCTGTTCATCCTGTTGGCTGGACACTGCAGCGTTTTATCTTTCCTGCCTCAGACCCTAAAATTTCCGATACCAAGGCCTAACTCCAAAGTCTAGGAAAAGATTTGCTTACCAGAAAGAAGGAAATCAGCGAAGAGACTGTGAACTCGGTGGCAGCTCCCTGGAGCAAGGCAGTCAAGATGACCTCAGCATTTAAGGTGTGTTTACAGCTGAAAATTCAGGCTTCTTTCTTCTGATCCCTGTGTTCAGATTTGTGGCCAGTGGTGCCTCTGGTTCCTTGCCGGAAGCCGATATGGTACAGACCATATCCTTTTGTTGTGTGGTGAACCAGCAGGAAAATTTCGAAAGGCAGTGTCTCACATGGCTTGAGTTTCCCCCCCTCCCATTCCTTAGCCACCCCCTTCATGCATTAGTCATTTCCCATAAATGATGTCTGCCTATCTACCCTAGGAAACATTCTACTTCATTCATCCTGCAGCTAGGCTGTTATGAGTTCTGCTTTTTCCTGGCATGCCTTGTGAGAGGCTAATGGACTAATTCTTGTCCAGAAATGCATTTTGCCCACACTTAGAGCTTTCTGTGAAAACAGCCACTTCCCTTGTGCTGTGACTATTGCCTAGATTTCTGCTTTTGCTTTCGATTCATTTCTCTCTACTGTATATTTTGTTGCATCTATATATTTTCAGCCCAGCCCAAAAGGTTCAGGTCCGTAAAAAAAATTGACAATTGGCTGCCCACTTACCGCCAAGCCAGATTTAAGGTTCCTGTGTTAATTTACAAAGCACTGAACCACTTAGGTCCATGGTACCTCAGAGACCAACTGAACCCTTAAATCCTAGCTCAGTCACTGAGATCACCTGCAGGAACATAGGTGGTTCCACGAATTAACTGGTGAGGCTCATTTGACAAGAAAACCAGCCTTAGAAGTCAATGGCCCAGTCAAGAGATTTAGCGGGCACCTTCTGTGCCACCTTTCAAACGCCTGCTGATAACTCTGTTTCGCCAGACCTACACAGACAACTAAGAAAATATCCTTCCACAATACAGTGGTACCTCTGGTTACGTACTTAATTCGTTCCAGAGGTCCTTTCTTAACCTGAAACTGTTCTTAACCTGAAGCACCTCTTTAGCTAGTGGGGCCTCCTGCTGCCGCGGCCACGCGATTTCTGTTCTCAATCTGAAGCAAAGTTCTTAACCCGAGGTACTGTTGGCTATTTGCAGTATGGTAGCGCTGCAGAGAGCTTGCTGGGGAGATCATGCATTAAAAAGAAAAGGACTCAAAAATAACTTAAACAAGGTTTTAATTACAAAAACAAAAACTCCATTTACACTAAATACATCAACAACCAAACCAGACCCACCCATCCCCCAGGGTAATGGGAGAGCTAGGTGCTGCTCCTTATATACTACACCCAAATGCTGACACACCTTAATCAAATACAACTCAGCAGCACCTGCTATGTTTCACAGCTGTAAAGCTGGGTCTCGTTATCTTGCTACGGCCCTTGCTCTGGCCCCTTAAAGACATACACATCGAGTGGAACAATGATGAACCTTTACATTTAAAGAAACCATTCAACAGGTACTATTTCTGGGTTAGCGGAGTCTGTAACCTGAAGCGTATGTAACCCGAGGTACCACTGTAGTTCACTGGCTTTTAGTGTGTGGTTTTATGTTTTTATTGTTGTAAACTGTATTGATAATGACATAACAGTACATACATATTTATATAATTAATTAATTGACTGATTGATTAATTATATAAAATCCCCAGAGGGCAGGAGGGAGCAGCAAACCCCTTGAGTTGTTGATTTGCTGCAGGGACAATTTATAAGTTGGTGAGGGTTTCTTTGTGATAGGCTGTTCTTATCAAGGGAGATGGGAATGAGATATTGGGAAAGGAATTACTGAAACCCATGGAGTTGGACTTGCCAGGCAGGTTCAGCAGGAATTTCTTTTAGTCTTAATGAAACTATATTTTATTCAACATTTCCTTATGCAATACCTTACTCTGGAAAAACAGGGTCATAGAGTATGAGCTATGGATGAGGAGGGAATCGGTTCCAGCTCTCATTTAAAGGGCAACATATCTAAATCTTCACTTTCTGAAACAACGTATAAACCAATACTGTACACAAAGTTGTGCATACTAGGGAAAACTGCTCTGCAAAATTGTGCATATTAGGGGAAATTCCATAAAAGAACGTGTATATTAGGAAAAGAATTGCACTAGAATGCTTATGAACTTTCATGGGCTTAAAATAATAATTTCAAACTTATGTAGAAATGTGGAGAACTGAATTTAAGATTAGAAAAATGAGAAACTGAGAGAAACTGATCGATTTGCCCATCCCTATGAAGGCTTCTTCTCTTCACTCTGTGTACTTCCATGAGCAGGAAAGAGGTGATGAAACCGGAGAAAAACCTCAACAGAAAAACACAAATCCTCTTCCACTTAATTCACATTTCCCAAAACAACTCATGAAATGAAACTTGTCTCTCCTTCCAAATTCACTCTTTTCCAATGCAGTTCTCCAATCAAATAACATGTACTAAAATGTATACATCAAGGGAAAGTGTGCATAAGGACTGTTGGGCAAAAAGATACCTGCATTGCAGGGGGGTTGGACTAGATGATCCTCGTGGTCCCTTCCAGCTCTGCAATTCTATGATATTGGTGAAAATGACACAGAAAATATTCAGGCCCATTAATTTCAATGGGTCTACTATGAGTAAGACTTACTTGGACAGAATCCTGAGTATATTCGACAAAACTGTGTTAACAAATGTAGTATATATGGAGAAACATGGACTAAAATGCTGACAAGTTTTCAGGAGGACTTTTTATTTTATGATTCTTTTTTTTGATGCTGAGAGAATTAGATTCCAAGCTTGCAAAAATGTGAAAATGACAGATTCATCCATCCCTAGTAGACCCAGACATGCAGTCTGAGCTGATGTAAAGCAGCCTCTTTGTTCCTCTGGGAACCCTTCTGAGGTGTTGTCAAGAGTTTCAACTGATTGACAGTTGATTCAAATTCCCATTTGCAATTCCTCACCAGTTAACCCAGGGTGTTAGAAAACAAGGACGCCTTGATTGCTAAATAATATATTTACTCAAGTGGGTGGGGGTGGATAGATTGCTTACAGAGGGAGAAATGAGAACGCGTGAAGGCAGAAGAGTGTGGCAGATTCATGCGTAGAGCTGCTTGATCTTCTGCACTGACTTCTTCCACCAGTCTGTCCAGTGCTGGGCCTTCATTAGAAGAGCTGTCTTCTCCTTTTTAATCCTGGCAAATTCCACCTCCAACAGTTCCTTGAATCCCTGTGTGAGCAACACAACCCCAGAAAATGCAAAATAAGGACCAAAGAAATCCATATTTGCCTTTGGAAGCCTTGAAAGTCGCCACTGGAGAGGGAATGGGGGAAACTGCATGGGAGGGGTGTTTCTGGGACAAAGGTGAAACAGTCAGGTTCCCTTTGCATTTTTACTATTGGATGCTGGGTGTTGTTTATGCAGTCTTGTTATATGTATAGTACTGAAATGTGTTTTTGGTATGTTGTCATGTTTGCTATTGTGGTGTTTTGTTATGCTATTCTGTAAGCTGCTTTAAGCACGCTTCAAGAGTGGCATGATGTCAAGGTCAGTAAGGCAAGACGCTGGTGAGTATGCCCTTGGGGGAAGCAGGGCTGGAGTCTGACTCGGGAGAAGGGGGCAGTAGTCTGTGGTGACCCGTACTAGCCAGGATGCAAGAATTAGAGGCAGGGGAAGCTTTAGAGCTGGAGGAAGAGGCAGCCCAGGAAAGTGAAAGGTTGGGTGCTTCCCCTCCCTCCCCTGCACCACTGCCTCCCAGAACCAGGAGAGAACTGAAGCAGGAAGAGCAAAAGCAGCTTCCACACAGCTGTGGTCTCCAGCTACATGTGCACAGCCCATCAAGGGAAGGTACATAAACTGGGGGTGGGGGGGTGGGGAGTGTTCTGCAGATGCTGCAACTGCTCCATTGAGCACAAGACCTGGGAATAGCTGCCCAGATGTGTGCATAGGTCTCCAGAGCTGTAGAAGCAACTGTTATTCTTATCTATGACAATAAATAAAGAATTAACTCTTTGTCATGTGCATTCCTTTGGCTGGGAAATGTCCTTGCCACATGCAAATAAAAGGAAGGAAGGAATCTATCTTTCTGTACTCACACCTAGGGTGACTGAAGGATGGAGTTTAAAAAAAACACAAAACTCCCCCTAATTTCCATTAATGATTATGCACTCAGATTCCAGAGATGGAGCCCACTCAAGAGTTGTTGGCATCTATCTGTCTCAAGAGACCATAGAGTGCACCTCCAGGGCTGAAGTCAAACCACTGAAGAATTACAGCACCTGCTGTGGCCACAGAGACCAGTAACTCATAACTGCTGCCTCCTCCATTGTTTTTGCTGTGTTAGCAGCACCAAAATTACCTATCCTGAGCACAAGCCTAGGCAGTGTGTATGGAGGTCCTGAGCTGCCCAGATGACAAGACCCCCCTCTTGGCCTAGCTGATGTGGTCCAAAGGACAGCAGAGGAATATATTTGATACCAGCTTGGGGGCAGGAGTTTCCAGAAGGAGGTGTATAAGGCGCCATCTGACCGTCTTAGGGACTTCACTCTGGATTTGTGTAGGGTTTACTCCTTAGCCGTTTCTTCTCCTAAACATGTTCCGCAAGGCAATGGGTTCACATTCTTCCTTGGGATTTATTCCCAAAGCCTTTTACACAAATGGGTACATGCAACTACCGATTTGCGCGGGGGTTACATTCCTGACCCCCGCCTGCTCTGTCTCATTCTGCCACTGCCCCATTCTTCCACCTTTTCCGACCACTTCCAGGTTGCTGTGCTATGAGTGCGCAGTCGTGCATCAATTAGACACACATAAATTGGTTGTTGTCTGTATAGTCGCAAGGCAGCAGATGTTTAGGGTCAGACTTTTCCTTCTCCAAGATGAGCAACCTTCCCAGGTTGACAAGCCTCATCTGCCCCTCACTTTTCTCTACAGTACATGCAGAAACCGCCTTCTTGACCATTGGACCCATTATTGGTCTTGTCCGCTCAATCCACCAGCCTGCCTTCACATGCAGGGGAAGTTCCTAACTCCTAACTCAGGGTCTGAGATCCATTGGCTACTCGCACTTAGTTTAGCTAGCCAATCGAAGCTGTTTACTGGTGTGTAGCTGCTATTTTGCGGCTTTACTCTTTTGTGCAGCCATTAACTGAAATAAATGGATCTTGGTTATGCTCATTAACTTCAGTGCTTCAGTTCTGATTAGGACTGAGTGGGAGACAACCCTAGGCATTATGTTTCTGGATTAATGCAGTGTATACACACATACACCTGAAGGCAGCCCTGTTTAGGGAAGTTTTTAATGTTTGAAGTTTTATCCTGTTTAATATTCTGTTGGGAACCGCCCAGTGGCTGAGGAAACCCAGCCAGATGGGCGGGGTATAAATAATAAATAATTATCGGCGGCAGCAGGAGGCCGCATTAGCTAAAGTGGTGCTTCAGGTTAAGAACAGTTTCAGGTTAAGAACGGACCTTCAGAACGAATTAAGTACTTAACCCGAGGTACCACTGTATTATATTATACTGTGTGGATAGTCTCCAAAACTGGGAGAACTGTTCTTGGATGGAACACAAGGATAGAATGGTGAAGTTATTCTTTAATTACACCAGAAAGAGACTTGGAAGGGGCAGGCAGTGCAAGCTTTTGAACACCAGAGTTATGTGCTGACTATAGGCTGTCAGAATCAACAGTCTCTAGTTGCAGCATTTTGCTGGAGCCTCTGAACCAGGCTGAAGGGTAGCACATTTACTTAACTGATGTTCATTGAATATTTTTAAATTCCTTTTACATTTTGTATTCATGCTTTTATACTTGTAAGTCACTTTGAGACATTTTTTGCAGTAAGTAACAAACAAAAGTAATTAATAATTCCAACTTCGACCTTTCATGAAATGCTTTTGCATGGAATCCTACCCCACATTAGCAACTGTTTTTCCTATCAGCTGCTGAGGCCACAG